AAAAAAAAAAAGCCAAAACATTTGAGCTGTTAGTGCAGACCAGTACCTGATAAAGAAGATACGTGGATTCCACTAACTCTGGCCTCAGTGGATAAAAGGGAACATCCGGTGCTTGCAATTGCCAGTTGTACCTTTCTGGGAGAGCGCCGTATCGCTTCCATATGGCATAATAAAAAGCATGAAGACAAATAGCATCTTCCACATCTCCTATCAACACCTAGGCATAACAGCCATAAACAGGTGTGTTTAACTCTCCAGGCCAGCAAATTGCTTTCCATACTCTATGACAACATGCTCTACAATGAAACACTCCCCTCATAACAAAAGACCAGTTTAAAAAAGAGTTAATATATAATCCCTCCATACCAAAAGCATCAGTGGAGGTTTGTCCCATACTGAGATACAGGCAAAACACCAGGAAAACGCAGAAATTTTGAAAAGTGTCTCAAATCTAGCAGAGAGCAGGCCAAGCCTCCCAGAAGCTGCCCCCAAGCTGAAAGAATAGGCAAGTGTAAACCCGTGGGTTAAAGCTCCACTCAGAAGAGACACTCAGATTCATTTACAAGCCTAGAATTAGAACAAGCTTCTCCTCCGACACCCCTGCACTGTGTCACTTAGTCCCCATAACAAAATGACAGCATATTGTACCTGCAGTCCAGGAAAAAAGGCTTGCAGAGAGTCAATCCACGTGTTCATCAGCTGTCCAGTGAACATATTTACATTAACATACAAAGGAGGGTCACCTTCACCTTCATTACAAGCTTCTCGGCTGCCAAGTAACAGTAAGCATATGTAAATATTCACTATAGAAGAATATAATGCATGTTCCATTTTATAACACCACCGCTAGCAAAGACAAATGCCCACAGCATTTGTTAACACTATGCTGAAAGCCAGCCTGGCTCTCAAAAATTCATTCTTAAAGGTAAGTGCATCACATCCTTACGCAATATTAATCGAAGTCCTACTAAAAAAAAGCAACACACAGCAGGTAAAATCAGGCCTTAAGTAGTACTGCTGCAGCCAATTCAATTCATATCCTTTACACGTCTACGGCCTTACGTCATTTACTACTTTGGAGGTTACCAGTTTAATTTCTTAGCACCAATGCTACATTGATCAACTGACTGAAAGGTATGTTAAAATTGTATTTCCAGTGACTACCATAAAAGCAACAGACTTTCAAAAGGATGGTACAAA